CTCAGAGAAGCGTTAGTGCAGCGTATCAACCACTGCCTGCTGAATCAACTCTGACGGAATTTCAATTTCTCTTGGGACATTTAGCATGTTTCTACTACAGTAGGTAGGTGGATAGGGAGAACAGCCTGAGACCACATACAAGCAACAGCAGTTTCTAAAATTGTTTTGACTGCAAAGCAGATGAGATACAAGATGGTTATGGGTAACAACTGAAATGTATATTGTACCCACCAGGAATCAGAGACAATGGTTTATACCATATAAGCTTACCATGTGTGCAGATTGCTTACTGTCTTCCTTATTTCCCTCCCCCGGAGTCCTTTTTGTTTTTAATAAAACATTCTAAGTTTTATGAAAGATGACTGTTACAGCTTTTATCAGTTATGGTACAGTTTAATGAATATATTTGCTCTTTCTTCTAGTATTCTCAGGATACATTGTATAAGTCATTATTCTGTTACTTCTCTTTTTTGCCTGGTAGGCAAAGGCAGCCACTCAAAGCATATCTTTACATTATTTTTGCTAAGAGCAAAAAGCACTTAATATATCTTGCAGCTGTGCTCCAAATAAAAATGCCTAATTTTGAAATATGCTTTTTTTTTATTATTCTTACAGAGACTGTCACTCTTCTATGACTTGTCTTCCTACTTAAGAATATTTAATTAATCAAGCTGTAATGAAAGAGCTTCTCTCACTGAGAGGCCATTTTGGTGTCCAACATATTCCACAATTGTGTTTTCCTAGATACTCGAATTAAATGTGCTTGTTTATAACCCTTCACAGACAATGCGGCTCCAAACACTACCCTAAATATTCATCATCATCCTTCTTGATTCTAAGTATTTTCAAGTTATCACTTGCTCTTTGTAGCCACTACTTCCCTAAACTGGAGTTCGAGTTTGTATATGCTAATGTAAGTGTGGGAGGTATTTCGTGAACTGCTATGTATGAAGACCAAATATACAGCCAGCAATTAACTTTCTGTTTATGTACGTTATAAAAAACTGTAATTTACAAATGGTAGATTATGAAGCATAGAAACCTAATTTTCATCAAACTAGCACTTTCCATTTATAGGTAACTTAGCTGTATACCTGACACATAAGAACAGAGGCCATATACCCTCTAAGCAATACAATAAGAGTCAGTCTGTGCAAAATTCCTCTCACTTTTATTTCGTTTTACTTGGACATCACTGAAATCAGTTCTGGGACTCCAAGACAACTGCACTTGCATCCTTATCATAGCAGCACCTTTTGGATTTAGTGTAAACATGAGAATTCTCACCACGCTTTTTCCCAGCGGTCAGTCTGTGATTAATATAGTTCAGCCTTTTGTTTCTTGCTTTTATTGAAAGGATGATAAAATGCAGGAACACTCTGGAGGCAGGTATTTCAGATAGCTCTGGATTAGAGATATGATCTGCACAAACCGTGCTGTAAATAAAGCCTACCAACAGTGAAACCCTTACCAAATGCACATGCCTTTCGAGAAGCAAAGTAATCAATATTTTTTTCACATATGGCAAACATATTGCAGAGAAGCAATATAAGCAGCAACACAAAGAAAGAACAGAAAGAGTAAGCCAAATAAATAAACAAACAAAACCCCTCTTCAGCAATTCTAGACCACTCCTGCCCAAGTTAACCCAGATGAAGTAAGAGGACACATGAGCATTTACAATAGTGACCGCATGAGCAATTCCCTTAACGGGAGCTTACCATTACTAGCTTACTTCTGCAGTGCCAGAATTTCATTCTATTATATACTGCTAAAGAATCAGGGTGCTACCAGTCATTAGGTGTAGTTGTTGATTAAAACTGAAAGCCCCTATTTCATAATAATTTCATTGCATGATGTTTGTTTAAAAAAAATAATGAACACAAGTGTTAATCAGAAGTAACTGCAGTAGCACTTCTGTGATCTATAGATTTGGTAATTTTCAAGATAGAACTGAAAATATGGCAATAATTGTAGCATGTTAAGTCTACTGAGAACTCTCTCATTTACCTGTTTGATCTGGTACAGAAAACAGAAAGCAACTTTGCACTTAACCAAATACCTAAACCAGTTCTCTGCAGCTGGATTTTCACTGCTTTCCTGATGACCTCTAGAAGTACAACCTATTTCAGTATTCAACCTGTTTTGGTCCCTTTGCTTTACACCTCAGACAAATGTTTATAAACAAAATTGTGGCTTTTTAGACCACCCTTGGAGACTGCTACAGTGGCTGAAAAGGAGAAGCCAGCTCCTTTTTTGAAAAATGAGCAATTACCAATCAAAAAAAAAAAATAATAAAGAAATAAACTTTCTTGATTAGCAATAGCTGCAATCCATCTTACACCTTTGTTTTAGAAACAATCATCTTGATATTATGACATTCCATAATGTACTATTATCATACTAAAACAATAATCACATTAGCAAGGTTCCTGTCTCCTTTCCTCGCATCAAGAGCTACACGCAGATATTTATTTTAATTGCTTCCAGAGAAACGTCTGGTCCTGCCAATGCAATTGTAACAGACCATAGTGCATCTCTGGGTATACCTGACCACTGCATACAGCTTGAAAATAGACTTGGTTTTGGGAAGTCAAAAAACCACTTTAGCCTGAACCATTACTGAAATGGCCTGGATTCACAAAAAAACTGTAATAGTCCTTCTACTGCTTGCAGTGTGACAATGAGCTTACAAAAATCTGCTAGAATCAGCCACTTTAAGTTGTATTGATGCACACATGGTAAGTATTAACAAGAGTATGGTTCAAGACATCAGACAACTGCCCACAGAAAACAAATACTTAATGGTTTAGATTGAATAAGAAGAAAAAACATTAGATCTGGACAGATCAGAACACCCAGAAAAATTAAGATAAAAGTTAGCCTATTTAACAGAGGCCAGCCTAACCACCATAACATAAACCAGAATAATCTTTGATGGAAACTTTTGTTTGATAAAGCTGAACATTTTTCAAGTCTAGCTATCTAAAGTTTTCATTGATTGTTGACTGTATTGGTTCTGTAGAAGCATCACTTACAGTCCTTCATTTCTTGAGTCTCATACTTTTTCTCTGGGAACACAAAGACTCAAGTCTCTGCATTATTATATTGTGAAAGATACCACATGCTTTCTGTGGCTGACTGCAATGTAAGATTCTCACTGATAATCTGCTGGCTTCAAGGGAAGTCTGCATGTTAGCTTTAGCAAGACCTGGAACAGCACTAGTTTAGCTTTTAGACTCATAAGAACATAAGAAAAGCAACATTGGAACATATCAAATATCCATCTCCAACAGCAACCAACAGAACGGAGCATAAGTACAGAAAACCATAGATACTCTCCCAACTGTGGTTGCAGCACTTCCTGCAAAGGTGGCACTTCCTCAACAGATTTTTCAGATTTATTTGTCGAGTCCTTTCCTGAATTCATACACGTTTCAGCATCCTGTGCCAAGGAGTTCTGTAGCCTAATTGTGGACTTCATGAAATGCAGCATTGTTTTGCTTGTGTTGAATCTACCAGGTGTTAACTTATTTTGATACCTGTTAGTTCATGGTATTCAGTGGATAAAGCAGTTGTTCCCTATCTATTTTTTCCCATTTCACTTGCAGCTTTATAAACCTTTACTTTATTCCTCTCTAGCCATAACCTGCAAATCACTCTTCTAGGCTGAAGAGTCCTCTCTGTGTATCTAGTCACTGTATCTGTAACTAACTGAAGTGTTCAGTTGCTTGAAAACAAGAAAAAACAAAACTCCAGACTCATTTTTACTGCATCACTAGCTTGTAACTCACCTTGAGATTATTCCAGTTCATGTTAGTCACAATGTGAATTAAGTCAGAGTAGAGCCAAATTAAAACCCAAGCTGGTAACTTATTTAAAAGGATAAACAGACTTGAGTAAAGGATAAATACATTTAAACATATCTCGACTAGAATTCTGAGCTAATCTATTTGAATTGTTTTTAATATAGAGGAAAACTGAAGCAGGATGTGTATCTGTCTTCATAATTTCGATATCCACCAGGGATATGGAGCTATGATTGTCATTTGCAGTGTGACAACCACGGGAAACTCTGCCTGTAAAGAACCACATTCAAAGGACAAATGTCATACCATGATTTCATCTTGCAGTGGTAAAACTCAGACCCTGTGCATATCACCTTCGCAGTTCTGTTGCAAGTCAGACATTTGTTTAAAGATGTCTTCACGAGAGCAGAAGCTATGACACATCTGCCTCTGTGCAAAATTAAAGAAGTTTGCCAGTCTAGAGCCAGTAACAGAAAGTTAATCAGGCAAGAAACTAAGTTGTGTTCCAGGAAAATGCAGCATGTGATAGACTAGGCTGACGTGTCAAGTAGGAAGGTAAAGCCCCATACCCCTTGGGGTGGTCAGGAGAAGCAGCAAATATTTCACATACGAATTATCAGATCAGGTGGAAAAAGATGCATACGAAACGGAAGTTATAGTGAAGAAGGGAAAAAATAAATCTCAGAGAAAATGGAACTCCCTGGTGATTACAATGGAACAAATGCAAAACTTACGATGTCAATCACCTGTTGGAGATACTGTGCAGCTTACCATTAAGTGGCAAGTGCTGATACAAAACCATAGAAACATGTTTTACTTGCCTTATGGTTGCACAGACTATGTTTATGTATTTATGAGTTAACCTTTTGTGACTAAAGTGAGACTTTACTGAGCTAAATTAATGCTGCCGTAACAGGTCTCATTGGTATATTAGTCAAAACCCACACAAGCTCCTAGCTCTGCTTGGGAAATTTAAAATGTACTTATCCCAAAGTGAACTTCTCAGTCATGATTTCAGACACTTCAAAACAGCAGCAAGGGCTAATTTTGAAATCCAACATTGCTAACATTTTCCAGGACCACTGACACAAAGATGATAAAGGAGTTCAGTAATGCACTAACTGCTCATGCACTAACATGTATGGAATGCCACCTAATGAGAAACAAATCTAACATAACAGGAGCACTAACCAGTGACTGTCGGAACAGGAAACACTTCTTTGGGTCAATACCACAGGCAAGGACGGCAGCAGTGGTGTCCAGTATGTTCTGGCGCAGGACAGATGGCTCCTTGGGCATGGTGAGCGAGTGCATGTCCATAATGCTATATAGCACTGAGCTGCACTCTTCCTGCAGATTCACCCAGTTCTGAATGGCTCCAAGGTAGTTACCCAGATGAGGTGTCCCAGTTGGCTGAATACCAGAGAAAATCCGATCCATGACGATATTCTGTTACAAAGCATTGGTAAAATTAATACATGTATTTTTTGACAGATGCTTTTTTATTTTAAAGTCATTAATAAAGCCCCACTTGTGCCTGTCTCTTCTCTCCTCCTGTCAGTGTATTAATGTATAAACTGCCTCAGGATTGATGAAAAATAATTGAAGTCAGTCAAAATACTCTATCTTACTGCAAAGAGACTGAAAACTAGCATAATTTTAAGCTGTCAGACTGCATATGCAAACAAATGTAGCTGTAAACAAGACTAGTGAAAACTAGATCTCAGAAACCAAGTGGGAGAATCTTTCAACCCTTTTTGTGCCAAAACTGTATGTTTCTCTTTAGTACATTATCCATTCTGATACAGAAACTTAGGATCACAGTGTAGAGAAATTCAAACATCTTTGTTGTAAACCTATGCAGTGTCGAAGTACATGGCAATCTTAACTCCCATGAACATTGAAGTCTTATTTTTCTAGCTGCAAAGAACATTTTGAGTGGTTCCTGAAAGAAACCTAGTCCTTGACCCAAAGGTCAAAGAATAACGAAGGAGATTACCAAAGTCCTGAAACTACCCATCTTGGCAGCAGTAGAGTTTCTAAAAGGGCTCTGTAAAGAAATACTGCTATAGCTCAAGATCACACCTGGAATACTGTGGATGTATCAATATCAGTAAAATGTCAACATCTGCAAAGAGTTCACAAAGAAGCAGCAAAAAATTATTAAGAAGCTGAGGTTATGAGCAAAGATTAAAAAGCTTAAAACATGTATAGCTTGGCTAAGTGACAGTTACCATCTTGGAAAGTTTGTTTTCCTGCATCCCAGCCCTCCATCTGACCATGTTGTCAGAGCCCCAAGCTGTCAGCATATGATCAATTACCTCCGTGTCCTTTCCAGAGAATTCTACCATATTCAGAAAGTAAATCAGCAACATTTTATGTGAAAATGCTTGTTATGGGCCAAGTTGTAAGAGCATGCAAGACTGCTCGACTTATAAATGAGGGTCCCACCAACCTCAGCAGGGAGTCCCAGTCAAAGCTGCACAATACAAACCCTTAGACTCTGTTGTGCAGCAGGAACATCAACTTCATTATGCTTCTGGCTGCACGATTTTTTTCCTGCTAAATTTTAGAAGCAACATCTATAACAAAGTAGAGAGAATTTATTTACTGATGTAGTCTGTTTTCATTTCTGTGAATCTCTTACAAATGTATGGGGAAGAAAAAAAAAAAAAGTCATACAACTATGAAACCACACAAAATGGCAGCAAAAGTCAAGGCCAAGTACCATTATTTTTAACTATTAAAAGGACTTCAAATTGACTTAATTAATCTTGACTCAGACCCAAGAAAAATTAATGAGAAAGTGTTTCCAAGTAGAAGAGGAACTTTTTCCCCCCCCCCCCCGAACATGATCTATAGTTCAGAAAAGCCTAGCCCATTTCCTTCAAAACTTGCTGAAAAATTCTCTTTGCTTTGAAAGTAAGACTGGTTTTCAGATCAAGACAATTTTCTTATCCAATGTTTAAGTGTTTGCACTGACAAGTAAGAGCAGGTTTGGGCTAGCTGCCGTGCTAATTTCTCCTACACATTTAAGTCCAGGTGGTAACCCTCTCACCCCATCCCAAATATCTGCTTGACTTCTAGGTATATTCTTGAGTCGGTTTCTAAGTGTTCTTGGAGAACCTCCAGCACAGGAGCTGCAAGGTAGTCACTGCAATGAAAAGCACACCATTTCCTCCAACAGCAATTATAACTTCCAGTTCTTCCACTCCAGTTCTTGACCACCCGTGCCTCTTTTCTCCATTACACAAAAATGAAATCATACTACTGAATTCCTTGTTTGTCATTTGATCCGTTGTTTTCTTAGGAACTTACATCAGAGCCTTCATCGCTACTTGCAGGAGCCCCTCACCTCCCACTTAGTGACTACCTGGCCCAAGCACTGCAGCCAGCTTTTTGTTAACACTGAGAAGGAGGCATAGAGAATCCCAACACAGATAAATTGAATGAAGTCTTGTAGGAACTTGGGATTCACTAGGCTTCAGAGCTGTGCTTCTATTATTAAGGGCATAGACCAGTTGCTAGGCAATGCTACAGGTAATTCACAGGCATAACTTCCATCTTTTGCTTCCCATGTTCCTGCTCTTCCCCAAGAGAATAAGAGCTCAAGAAGAAAACAAGGCTATAAACAGATGATCACTAAGATGGTGTTCTGCCCCTACACAGATCCCAGAACAGCTGGTTGGTTGTCAGAGCACTCTTCTTCTCATCTCCCTGGCTCCCCTCACTCAGTTCAAATCCTGATGCCCCTTCCCACAATTATTTCTCCCCCACAGTGCTTCCTGCCTTCCACTGCCCATTCACGTGCCTGTTTAACCACACTTTTCTACACAGGCTATATCTTCTTAAGCCCTGCTCTCTGTTTTCTTACCAGATAGCTTCATCCCTCCTATGTTCCTGTATTCTTTTCTTCCTCCAGTTGTGCTTCCCCACCCCCTGCTTCCCAGAAGAGCTCTTGCATGGTGTATCAAGACAGTAAGGAGGCACAGTGTATGCCATATGGTAAGGAAGCTATTGACTACAGTGACTATATAAAATACGTTTCCTATCTGCACTGTTAGAATAGCTAAGACACTTTACAGTGTTCTAGAAATCCACTATGATATCCACTGAATAAAGTATGTTAGGATGACTATGTTAAAGCGTGGAGCAGATACTTGCACATCTTTCAGCTGCAGTCTAGACAAAGACAGCATCACCTGAAATGTCTCCTGATGTTATTGCTTCTTCTCCCTGGGACCCTGAAGCTAGTGCTACTTAGAGCAGAAACAGCTCTACCCCGTGGTAACTGTCTGTTATACCAGAAAGGAGGAATCTCTGTGCAGTCAGCACAGATCAGCTCACGTGCCAAAACCTTGACACAAAAAGAGCTGGCACCTTGAGCCTGTGGAAAACAGTTGTGCCTACAAACCTTGTCAGTCACCAAGTCATGCAGACTCCATTCCTTTGCAGCCACAGTCCCTGCTTCACATGCTTCCCATGACATGTTTGTTATCTGCCTTTTCCCCTTCCCAGATCACTGTAGATCAAGTCACTATGAACATACTTGATGTATTGGCAAAATTATGTCCCCTAATTTGAGAATTGTACACTCAAATAGATGGTACAAATGTAATAGACACATTTAAATAGGTAGTTGGAGAACATTTTTCACCAAGAAAATACAAGATACTGGTGTGTCAACATACACTATACATTCAAATGCTATACTAACTCCAAATGTTTGAAGGGTAACAATGAGCTAACTAAAGATAGATTTTTTCTAACACTACAGAAGTTAGCATCTGGTGACACACTACATGTTGAAAAGAAAATGTCCCAAGTACAATGTAAAATGGACACAGTTTCATATGAAGAGATAACAAAGTTCTGTGTCTATCTGGTGAACAGTATGTCTGTGAAAGCAAGCATGGCATCTCTAACAGTGCTTTAACATTCAAATGGTAAACAACTACTTATAAAAGGTTTGTTCAGTGTATGGGCAATAAATATCAGGTTAAACCCGAGAAACAAACAGTAGCAGTATTATACTGAGCCTAAACTCAGCAATTACTTAACCTAAGCATGGAATTTCCAGAAACAAGTAAATCCAATAATGAAAACTGAGCTAGGCTGGACTTGGGTAAAGCACTAGCAAATACATTACAAAGAACAAACCCCCACAGGCTCCCAGCTAAGGGACCAGTTCACTAGGAGTCTTTCATCTTTAACTCCTTTGATTCCATTTAACAACATAAAGCACGAGATGTTACAGCAAATAGGGTGGTATGAAATATTCCATTGTGTTAGCAGATGTCTATATTAAAAAAAGCCCCTCCAAAACACCCTTAAATGAATCTTGGATTTCTAGCACTAAAAATATACAGAGAACATTGCTCCTTTGGAGAGAGTTTATGTTCCCTGTTTGTTCACTCCGTGAGAAGCAGCGGGCAGCATAGCAGCATGGCAGGGGAGTTCTGCCTGGTACCATGAAATCATGGGGCTGGAATGCACTTCAATGGAGCTGTTAGGTCAGGGGATGGGAGCTGTGTGCTCAAAAGTACTGGAGTTGGAAAAGGATAAAAACAAAAGGAGTGAAGACTTCCCAATGGAGCAGAGTGAAAGCCACAAGACATGCAGCTCCAGCCCACAGGCACTCACTCATTCAGACATCTGTAGTAAGCACAGTGTGAGCCTGCTGTTCGTATGTTTAACTCTGTGTGGTATGTGCACCTACACCAGTAGTGCTGCATGTTAATCTTCACTCCTGGTAAGAGCGGGGTATCTGACAGATGTTTTAACATCTATTATTTGTTTTCTCTCAATAAGACTTCTGCATGGCCATTCCAAACACCACAGCGCATTTCTCAGCAGCATTTCAAAATGAGCCTTGGCCCAAACCCCATTAAGATTCAGGTGTTCTCTTACCTAACCTCCTTTTTCATGATGAGATGAACAACTGCTGCTCCTTATACTGAAAAACCGACAACATCCAAATGCTCTCAAATAATCAGGAATAATTGTTACATTCTTTTACTAGAGCAGGATGGCTAAAGTCCAGCCCTGACACCCTGCAGTGTGGCCACATTAATTTTCAATGCAAAAGAAAAAAAAAAGATTACTGGAAAGAACAATAGCTTCCAAAATCCAATGCTGCTCTCTTGGACCCAAGCAGAGCTTTTCTCATATGCCACACCTGTGGTAAGGAGAGCTACAATTGTTGAGGCTTCAATTCAGCACTCAAAATCACGCTCATTCCCTGCTCGTGAGACAAATAGGCCAGAAAAGGAGAACACATCAAAGTTGCTAGAGTTAAGGAAATCCTATCTGCATATCTCCTAAAGACCATCACAGACAGCTTTATTTTTAAAGGAAAGAAGGTGTTTAGCAGCCTGCTTGAATTTTATGAAAGAGTATTAGTAAAGTCCACTTGATGCTATTCAGTTATATAGGGAAATGTATGT